AAACAATGTAACACCTGTAAAAAGTGGATTCGTCCTCAACATCAAGTTCTTCAATGCCTTGACTGTTGTAAAAACGATAAATACTGTGTGGAAGATATGAGCGAGTAAAGAAAGGAAACTGAGAAGTTTTGATGCCAAAAAAGCATTGATTTTTCTCAAAATACAGAAGAAGTCTGATATTAGGTGCCTAATAAATGGCAACAGTTATGTTTCGTCTATTTTAGTTTCTTATTAAAGTTTGTTTTCACATGATATTGAAGTATTTTTATATTTGTTTATTATATATATATATATATATATATATATATATATATATATATATATATATATATATATATATATATATATAACTACATTTCAGACATTAGACCAATAACATAGTAAATTAAAGGCAAAATATTGTATTCCATAATAAATAAATTTATTAAAAACTTGAAAAAATATTTACAATAAGATAAATAATAGGAACACAAGTCGAAAATATTATAAAATAAAGATAAATAACATTTATAAGATAATTAGAAAATTTGTTAAAAATTGTTTAAGTCTTGGAAGGAGTTCATGTATAAAAGAAAAGTTTCCTAAGTTGTGGAAGGCCGGAAATACATGCCTGCAGTTGTACATATATATGGGGTCTCTAGTGATGAATATGCATTACAATAGTAGGGTCGTGGGTTCGAACCCTATATATTAATGACTTCTGAAAGTAAGGTCTATGATACAAAAGCATTATTATTGAAGGTCACCTTGATGCATAAGCATTGTATGGGGTAGTCGGGTGACCGACTGCTCCTAGTACTGTAGCGAAATGACTAGTCCTTATTAAGGACTTGAAAAGGAATATTATGGTGGCGTGTATGCTGCTTCACGAGCAATTGGTACGAGGTAAACTTGGACTCGCTAACCGATGTGTCCTAGACATATCATCTTAGTGCTGGTGGTAAGCGGGTTTTTTGTAGCGATACGGCTTCCCGTGGACATCGCACACCCATACCGTTTGTCGGCGACGTCGTAATGCATAGCGATGTGTCGTCTATATTTCGGATTGGGATGATGAGTGTGTTTGGTAGCACTTTTAAGTGTAACAGCCATACTCAACTTCATGTCTTAGTGCATTAGCGCTATGATACGTGGAGTTTTGTTCATTGGCGTCTTAGTAGAGTGCTACTATGATACGTTGGTGATATTTTTTATATAACAACAATACAAACTTTGTTACCAAAGTCGATAGGGATCATGTGTTGATGCTTACTACTACTTGTGGTATTGCGTCTTGTGATGCTTCTGCGGGTGTGCTGCGCCTGATTCAACGCACTCTTGTGGTTCTGGACGATGGAGGTATGCGGGTGGTGATGTCTGCTGGCATGTATGGGGGACCTTGGGATGGTGTAAGCCCGACGATAGTCGTACCGATGCTTGTTGCGTTCTGCAGCATTGCGTCTTTGCGATGGTTGTTTGGTGGGACGCTATTCTCAATGGCGCTCTCTGCGTCTTGGTTTGACTCACACCTTCCCTTCATTACGGGGCTGCAGACTATCTGCCCTCCACTATGTTTTTTATAATATTATATCTCTGTAACTTTCCCACCTTTGAATGATTGAAGGCAACTTGTTGGTGGGTGAGACAAACATGATCGAAAATGCATTTACGCAACGTCAGTGACAGAAACCCTTTCTGATGGCGAATTATTATTCTTATCTTATAACTGCCTTTTGGCTATATCTGCCGTTGTATTGGTTGCTGGAGCATATGTGTCGACCTCATGTGGGAGGATCTGAGGAGACTCTCAAGGCTGCGGCCGAAAGCCGCACAACGTGTGACCCCATTCCCTTGAGGTGAGCGGTAGACTCATGACACGCTCTGCGGCTAGTAGCTGTGCTGATCATGCAATTGGTGGTGATGCCATACACTTACATCACATCTGCTGGAGCGGCGGTCTGGCAGGTGATGGCGCTCACGGAGGGTTTACGGCCAGTGTGCCTATTTGCCTCAACCGTGTGACGTACATTCACTGTGGCTGGATTCGTTCGTATTCTGTATGGCGTTTACACGCATTGACATGCGCGACTTCGGTCGATGTTTGTGCTTACGCACTAACAAGGGGCCGAGCCCCTTTTACTGGTTCGCCAGTTATTTTGCTGTGGACTACGGTCCAGTTCCCGAATTAACGTTCCCTTCGGGGGAGTGCATCAAAATGGTTGGCACTCACCGTGCACGGCGTGTGTGAGGCCGTGTGCCTCTCCCCTACATTTTTTTAAATAAATGTAGGAGAGCGAAGCCCTTGTATAGAGTATTTTGTATAAATATATTGTGAGCCTTTTCCAAGCGGGAAGGGATAAATAATAACAAATTAATAATGTAAACCTGATGCAAGTGGAATAAGGTCGTTTTATGTTCTTAACTTTTCTCGAGCCCTGTCTTCGTGAACGGGGTTCACTTAGCTTATAAGGTACTACCAACAGCTTTCAATTGCTCTAGTGAATATTTATTCTTCCAAAAGACACCTAAAAGAACTAAGTTACTAAACAAACACAGCGTAAATAAGGGTCCTAACTACGCCAAATACGCCAAAATATTACAAACGGCCTATTATTAAACCTTTAGAAAGATCATTTAGAAAGATCAAAACATATCTTGGTCACAAATTTATAATTTTTAATATAAAGGGGAATATAATATATTTTCTATTTTATATATTTATTTTATGTAGAGGGGGGGAGCGTTACAACAGCATCTGTTGGCTCATTAGAGTCCATGTTTTGGAATAATGCAGTTGCATAAACCATGAAGTTGGTGATGGTTGAGCGCTTTAAAACAAATCCATGTTGTTGTGAAAGAATATAATTGTGGATATAAAAGTACAGGCTGCTGTGTATGAATCTTTCAAGAAGCTTTGCTATAGTAGGCAAGATTGAAATAGGTCGATAGTTAGTCACGTCTTCTTTCGAACCCCTCTTGTGTACTGTAACAATCCTAGCAAATTTCCATATATTTGGACAGACACCCTCTCCTAGGCATTTATTAAATAAAACACGAATTGGCTTGTAAATAATTTTAGCCGTTCTTTTAAGAAAAATCAGCAGAACGTTATCCATACCGGGTCCTTTTGTGGCGTCTAATAATTGGAGTTCTCTTATGATATAGCCATCTTTTATTGATATATTGGTAATAATATTATTAGTGTGAGTTTTACTGTCTAAATCACTTATGTAGGTAATATCATAAGAATCCGGTACGTTTGAAGGCTAAAAAACTGAGTGAAAGAATTTCTAAAACATGTTGCAAATATCATCTGGGTTGTCAGCTTTTGAATTTTCCAATTTTACGCTAGTAGGTACATTGTTTTTTGCGATTATTTATATAAGTCCAGAAATATTTTATGTTATTTTTAATACCATCTTCAACTTTGTTTTATATAATTATTGTAACATTTTTTGCCTCTTTCCTAAATCTTTCACGGTACATTGAAAATACTGAGTAGTCTGCTTTATTTTTATACTTTTTCCATTTTACCCAAGCAGAATTTTGGTTTCTAAATATATGTATAAGATATGAGTTGAACCAAACCGGGAAATCTGTATTAGAAATAGTTTTGCAAGGAATGTGTTTACGGACTATGTTGTAAATTTGTTCATAAAATATATCAACACAGTAGTTTGCCTGTTTAATCTGAAATAGGTCTTCCCAATCAATTTCTAGAAGATCTTGATTTATATTCCCTTTGTGTCCTTATAGTGTGTGATTTACATTTTAATTGTTTACTTACTATAATATCAAGGGACATGAGAACATAAAACGGAGGGTGCTGTATATCTATTGGTACCAAAGCTACCGGCGTTGAAAAGGATTTATTATTATGTGTATTAGTAATACACAAGTCAAGCAAGCGGTCGGTATTTTTGAATATATTGATTTGTATACAATTTAATAATGACATAAAGTTTAATAAATATGAGATTGGCGGTCCTTGATCATTCGCTTTTAGGGGTTCTGTTTGATTGCCGTTGATCTGCCATTCGAAACATGGTAGATTAAAATCTCCGTATATGTAAAAGAAATCAATGCCCATAACCTGTATATAGTCCCTCATAGCATCAAAATATGTAAGATATACCTCTCTTTCAACTCTCGGTGGAATATATACAGCTTCAATAATGTAGTGTCTATTACCTACAGACAATTGCACCAGTGTTTGTTCAATTACGTGTGAGAGCTCGCGAGAATTAGCACGGTGGGGCAACGAGCAAGGCACGGAACAAAGAGAGCGCAACACCGCTACTAAACGCATCCACCATCTCGGCGGCCAGTCGCTGTTCGGTTACGATCGCAACGATACACAACGTAGCGGGAGTCAATGAATTCATTGTTTGCTATGTCGGCATCAATCACGTCTCGGTATGTATAACAACGTCGTAGGAATGCATCAAAATATTCATGTATATCGTATTAAGTTTGGTTCTCAATCCGCGGCAATTTTGATAATAAAATGGTAGTACGTTATTATTCAAACTATCGTATTTTAGAGTAGACTATTAAAAATATTACTAAGAAAACGTTATTTGAAATAATGAGTGTTTATACGTGTATAGGAAATAATAATGATTTTAATGTAACGCTTGGATAGTGGTGTGAAAAACAGAGTGCCAGAAGTATGATTTGACATTTCAAGGTTATGAAAGATTAATATGATAAAAAACAATGCCATCCCATTATGGATCCATAATAAATGTACAGTATATTAATAGTAAAGTTAAGATAGTAATAATATTTATGCATTGAAAAGTGATACAATTTAATATTATTATAAAAAAAGAGCTCAAACAGTTTATTATTTAATATTGTTGTTACCAAGATAAAGAATTTAAAATTATAGGTACACGTTTATGAGTCTGCCAGTTTATTGAATTAACATGGCACATATAATGATGACTAGTAACATTAATTTAGGTATTTTCCATTCAATTGACCTACCATAAATGAAAAGCCTCTCAAATGAGTAGTTACTTAATATTATTGAGGTCTTGCTCCGAGCGTATAGCCAGCATAGTTAGATGCTCGTTGATGAATATTTTTTGAGGTGGTCCAGATATTCCTAGCTTTTCAGTATTGAGATCCTTACTAGATACTAGACGACTAGCAGCTTTGATATTGTTGCGTAGTGTCCGGGTGGTACACTTAACTATAACATATTTAGGTCGGGTATATTTTTGGCCTGCTTGAGGTACACGGTGAACCGCTACAATATCGGACGCAAGTATTTGTTGTTTGATAACTGCACCAATGCCCATTACCATATTTGTGAGGTTCTCATTACGTCTGTCGGACAAGTTAATGATTTCGATATTGCAGTCTCGAGCTTGCTGTTCCATATATGCTAACTTGCTCTCAAGATTTTTTAAATGGCAAGATAGGTCGCTGACAGGCTGCATTTGATTTCGTAAGGTTTGTAATTGTTCGTCGAAGGTGTCCTGGCGTGTATTACTATAATTAAGTGATTTTTCCATCTCCGTCAGGCGGCTAATTATATCCTTAAGAGATTCTTTAAAGCCGATAATGTATATCGGAGCGCAGGCCCTGTGAACAGTGTCATTTAGAGTGGCCAATGACACTGTTGTCTTAGACAATTCACTTGCCAAAATTAGTTGTAAGGACTTGGTTTTGATGGCTTTTCATTGCAGTAAATTCACTTATAATGGAAGAAGCCCATTCATATAAAATTTATAATGGCTAAATAAATTGAAGAATAAAGGGATTTTTTCATTTCATTCATTACAGCCTACCAAAAGGCGACCACTAAAATAGCACCTCCTCCAAAGTAGCCCCATAGTTAGCAACCGTAGTTTTTTATTATTTTTTTAAGTTTCTATCTGGAAGATGTTTAAGCTTATCATGTGTTTTCTTTCCCTTCGCCGTCTATTACGACATCATGGGCTAGTGGCTTCTGCTACAACGAAGTTTTCTTAAGACTTTCAACTGCAAATTATCCAGATTCTCCGATTCCCTGCACTCATCATATGAAACACAGCAGTATTAAGCTGGTATTCTGTAAGAGCGTAGTCCTTCCCCAGTCGAGCTGCACCCTTCTTGCTACACTGCAGCAATATAATATCTCATTCAGGCTTTGGTGAACAGTCTCGGACTTGATGCGACTAAATCTTGCCGAGTTAAATTCCCAAAAGACACAAGTTTACTCATTTACCGCCAAAAAGAACCCCATCGTCGTATCTACTCAGTTTCAAGGCACTCTCTTTGTTGTCTTAACCAGTATCGGAATCCTCGGAATCAACATATCGAGTGACGTGCAGTTTCGTGGATACTTGAAAGAGATGCCCCAATTGGCCTCTAAAAAGCTTAACGTGCTCAGCAGAGCGGGACAGTACTTCATGCCAGCTCACCGCCTGCAACTTTACCAGGCGCAGGTTTGGCCACACATGGAATACTGCTCTCATCTCTGGGCCATGGCTCCACAGTGGCGGCTACTTCCATTTGATCGCATCCAGTACAGAGCCGTTCAAATCATTGGCGATAGAACTCTTTCTGATCGGCAAGACTCACTGGCACTGTGAAGAGATGTTGCACCTCTTTGCGTATTTTATCGCATTTACCACGGTGAGTACTTTGAGAATGTTCGGACTCATTCCAGCCGCAGAATTTCACCATTGCACATCGCAACTAAACTCGAAATACCATCTATACCATTAGGATGAGTGGCGGTCCACCACTCTGCGTTTTAAAAGAAGTTTTCTTCCTCGCACAACTTCCTTGTGGAATCGGCAGCCACCAGAGATTTATTCGGACTGATACGACTTAGGGACCTTCAAGAAAAGAGCCTTTACCTTTTTAAAAGGCCGGCAATGCAGCTACGATTCCCCTGGTATTGCAGTTGTTCATGGGTGTCGGTAGTAACTTACCATCAGGTGAGTCGCATGCTTGTTTGCCCCCTTTCCTATAAAATGATTGTACTAAAGTGCTTTAGCAATTCTGCCATAATCACCTAATAACTATACAATCGTAAGATTATAGGTGAAATGTGTAGTCGCTAATGTATATGCCGTATCTGGAAAAATACTAAGTTTACGAATGTTATCGTATTAAATTTAAAATTTTTGGGCAGTTTACAGCACCATCGGTCCCCTCGTGATTTTACATTAGTTTTATTCCATGAGTACTATTCGCGTTAATAAAATAAATCATTATATGCCGTATCTTTCCCAGTCTAGTAGCTTTAAAACGTTTATCAATGTAGCGGTGTCTCGGGGATATAACGTCATCCTGATTACTCCTCTCTACATTTGACTAAGTTACATACTCCGGTTCTGTACACGGATAGCCAACGTATCCCCACTGTATAAACACCTCTGCGCTTCAATATACCGACGAATTTCCGAACACCAACCGAAAAGACCGAATTTCGACGAATCAAAAGAGGTTATAAACATTTACAATTCTCTTAAGGAACTTCATAGATAATAACTTTCTTTTGAAATGATAGATAATTATACGAGGTCGATTTTCAACAGTGGATATATAATATAGAATAATGGATGGATGGATGGTTAGAAAAATGGAATGATAAAAAAGTTTTCTTAAAGTTAACGAGGGCTTTGTCATATTTTCTTTTCAATATGAAAAAAAAATCAACCACACAATAAGAACTTTTATAACGTTGCCATTTAATTTAATCAAAAGTTCAACATCAAAATCGCCCTTAAAGTTATTATTGAGGACAATTGAGAGCACAGATTAGAAGAGTTATTTTGAAGTATATCTCGTTTAGGCGCAGCTTAAGAGTAACCCAAATCTTTTTTCGGATTAGAGCAACGTTCAGTTAAATCTACAGTCCGATTAAGCAGTTCCCGCATTAATCATCTAGGCTATAACTGACAATAGCAATTTGTAAGAATATTGAATTATATTAAAAGCACCTTATAATTCTTAAACATTTCACATTATTCTTAAATTATTTTTCTTAAATTTCTATAAAGTTCAACACTAAACCTATTTTCTATTATGTTGATTTTTTTTGAATAAGGATGAAAAAGAACACGCAGTCCACTTGATGCTGTGTTGTGGCCCATAGACATCTACAATGTACGATGTACAAGCGACACAGAGAAGCTGAAATACATGTATGTATTTACATGTACACGCTGTAGCGTGTTCCTGATGACAACTCAAGATAATAAAAAACCAAGAATAACGAAGGTCTATGTTCAGCAGTGGACTTTTATATCCTGTTAAGAATGAAAAAATAAGACGTAAATATATCACTTCTATGCCCCGTCAGTGTAATGGCTAAGTATTTTGTTGCGATGCTACAGGATCATAGGTTCGAATCAAAAGTTCATCATGTGAAATATATGTATTTAAAACGCCTACGTGACACCTGATAAAATCCTGCTGTGAAGGTAACGTTGACGGTAGTATTTTTGGAGTGGATTATTACTTTGCAACTGATCTAGACGGTAATAAGTTCAACACATTGGCCACCGCGCCAAATTGGTTCTGGTCAATATCTAAAAAATACCCATTTCGTAGATCTGAGATGATAAACGTGAAAGACCTGAAGTTTTAATGAAACTTTTGTATTTAAATTAAAAAAATATGTCCTGACATACGTGACAATAATGAGGAACTAGTATAAAAAAATATGTCAGTACTGAAATTTTAACTTAAGTAAAATTTGCTTTGAATTTGAAAAGAAAGAACCGAATAGAATAAAATAATTTCTCTTGAATTATTATCCCGTCCTGCGTCAACTACGCACTAACTTGGCTAGTCTGGGAATTCGGTTTGGAAGCCATTACTCATTCGATTTACTTTAAAACAACGCAAAATATAACGCTTAGAAAACTTGAACGGTGTATAATGACAGCAGTTTAAATAGACGCAGTTACTCGGCTTAAGACTTAAGTTCCGACTCTAATTAAACAGTTAAACGTTTGCAATCCACTTTTCTCCCTACTTGTTTGCATACATTGATATTATTTCAAAAAAGAAAGAATGAATCACCCAGTAAGGTTCTCAGTAGGTTCTTCAAAGGGGGTAGGACCCTTCTCTTTTAAACAGTTAACAAAATACGATACCCCACGATAAAAAATGTCTGCAGATTTTGTGACTTACGTTAAAAAGTATGGGAATTCTAGAAATATTCTTATTATATTATTATTTCGCTAAAATGTAAGACATAATACCGTTTTTCTTCACGCTCCTTTTTATTACTTATTTTTGACTATAGGCCATTGATTTTTTGTGACAACTTTCCATGCTGGTAGCACTTACAGCTAAATACATAACTAAATCCTGAGAGATAATTACAACTAACCTGATATTAAATCCAACCACTATGAGATCATTTGTTATTAAGTCAATCAAAGCAAAAACGTTTATTTCGGATACTTCGTCCATAGGTATCCTAGTGTTAGTAACATTATTAATTTTATTTTATTTTAATTTAATCTTGCGCTTGGCTGAGAGCAGTGGAGGATCCTACCTATTTGACAATGCGCCCAGAATGCTGTTCAAAATAAAAAGGTTTGAAGTAGAAAGTTATGCTGAATACCTCAGAGTCATTACTAGCATAGAGAGAGTCCTAAAGTAGGAACAAAATTCTTATAGCTGACTTCTTTATACATATGACGTTTAACATAATACAAAATAAGATAGCAATATTATTCTCACCTTCTTTATTTTACAAGGTCGTTGCCGTTTTTACATTCCATAGACACCTCTATTGATGTGCCATTAGTGAAAGAAAGAACATTGTAGATAAATTTATTTAGTCTATGACTTAGTAAAGTTAAGGTTTTTTATTAGTCCGGTTCCTAATACTTATTTATATCAACGAAAGTTTATTAAAGCGTTATCTGACATCTTACAATAAAACGTAGTTGAATAATGCAGAATTTCGGACTATCGTACTATAATTAAAAATATATCGTGAAAATTTTACTATGAAATCTACTTCAATTCAGCAAATTTCTGCAAAATTATCCTTAGACTTAGTATGGGTTTCACAAGGAATAATAACTGTGTTCGTTTATTCGACACTTAGTTTGTGTCACGGGACGTACACGGAGGGCACTGCTATGACAATTATATTTATAGAATAAGTGTGCCAAACGAGCACACAGTCCACCTGATGGTTAGTGGATTGTGTGGCTCATAGATATCTAAATTTATCCTAGATTAAAAATTAAATGCAGATGCGTTGTCAAGGTCTAAAATGGAATACCTCGTCTCCAGTAAAAAGGGTCAACGGTTCTCTACACTCAACTAAAGAGATTTAAGCTGTTATTTTACGGTGATATTCTGTGAGAGCGTGGTAATACCCCGGTGGAGTTAACCCATTCGTGCTACGACTGTTATAGCTACAGCGTGACTTTACCAAGTACAGTAGTATAGTGATATAACCTCTCGTCAGTCCAAAACCTTCTAAAGGTTGCTGTCAAAAAGTACGCATCTGTCCACAACCATCAGAAGGTTGCTGGTTACTTATAAACTT